CATTTTATTAGTGACAGATACAGAAATTAATTGTAAACAATAACAATAAACAAAGAGAGAAATAGGCATTATAATCCATAACGTTTGAGGCTATCGACGTTTAAGACTGTTCAGATGAATAGTGCAAAACAACACCGGATATTTGTGATATCTCGTTTCTTTTTTTTTTTTTCTGCATTCTTCATTGTCGTAAATTTGCTACGATTAACGCGATCAGATTAGGCTATTTACACTTGGAAAATTAGTAGAAATAGTTAATTGTATGCTCTAAAACTGCTTTACAACATTTTATCCTTGCATTATTTTTACTTTTTAATTCTTATCATTCATTTGATCAGTAAATGATATGCAGTAGCTGATAAATGATATAAATTAAAAATACAGTAGCTGATAAATGATAGAAAATAAAAAAAAAATGAGGAAGATTTTTTTAATGCTCATTGTTACAATTCATAGTTCAAATGTCAAATGTTTGAGTGACAAAATGAAACATATGTTGCAGCAAAATGATTAATTACTTCATGCAGAAAAATCAATAGATTATTATGCATTATAGTGTTTTTATGATCGATTAGTGATTGTCTAATGCATATTGCGCAAAGCGCAAAAGTAATCCATTAGAGTAGTAAGTGGTTACGATCGCTTATCATATCTCAAGATCACAAATCTCAAGATATATAATAATGCACGGAAAACATTTTGTATGTTGCTCATCTATGTTGCTATTATTAATAAAAATACTTGGCCTTATATTTAGGGCCTTGAATTCAAAATTCTATTTGTTTTTATTTAGTACTATTATTATGACTACTAGATTTATCATTATCAATATGATAAAATGTATGCATTTAAGATTATTAAGCGATCAATGAAAATATCGTAGCGACGAGACAATTAAGCTTATTTATTTCAAAATAGAAGAGACATAGTCATTCTTGAGTTAATCGATAAAAGTGATAAGGATAAGATCGTTAACATAAGACAACACTAAACTTAGGAGAAGAACAATAGTTGCTAGTTTCCATTTATGTAATAAAACATTTCTTTTACAGATTGTAATTTCAAGTTAGACATTTTGTTTTTCAGTTGAATATTTTAATTAATTACTGTACTATTATTAGTAACACACTACCTATCCATTTTCATGCAATTAATTTTTGTATTAATTATGGATTGTGATCTTTAGTTAATCTTATCTTGCTTTCTATAAAGTTGTTAAATTAGCAGCTTATTTTATTTAATTCATCGTAAGATTGAAAGAAAGTTGAAAAGGTCAAAAAAGACGGTCAAATAAGTTTTAGTGAGAATAGTTTAGAAAAAGTATGAACAGAAAATATTAGCAAATGATTTTATCAAAAGATCTAATCATATCTCTAGAATTCAAGGTATTAATATTAATAGCAAAATGATCGATGATTGCTTTTCTCAGATTATATTACTGTAAACAATACTTAAATGCTATCACTTCTTACTTTAATCTTTAACTGATATTATTTTATCCATATTATTCAAATACTTTTACTTCAGTTGTTTTCCATAATATGAGCCAAGAATGTCCTTTCTTTAAATATTTCTTTAGTATCATTGGCCAAAAAAAGGTTTCGAGCCAAGAAACTGAATAACAATCTGCAACTGTCATCTAATCATTAAAAAAAAAACATTTCTAACATAAACAATTTATCATTTCTCTAATCTTTAGTCATTATTTAAATTTCGACACATTGTATGCTTCATTACACTTTTACTGTGGTGATAATGGGAATTGCAGAATATTTGCATTTGTTACTTTGTTGAATTTAACCCAAATTTTGTTACATCGAAATAAAGAAAAGAATTCTTTGAAAAGAAAATTTCTCGAAGAGTAGCACAGGTATGATAAAGGTAAGATAAACAATGTTACATTCAAAATTTTTGTTATATTTAATCAAAAAACAAAAAGAACGAATTAATAATTATTCATAGATAAGTATGCAAATCATTCATTGTTTTTATCATTGCGGGAAATATTCGTAAAAATTATTTTCTAATTTTGAGCTCAAATTGTTATATGGTAGTTTGTAGTAATGAATCATTTTTCTTTTGCAGTGACGCATTTTTCTTTTGAAGTTTTGCAGTGACATAGATTAAGCGGTGAGATTAATTGTTGAACTGATACTCAAAATTAGCATTTGATAATTTGAATAGTTTTGAATAGCATCTGATAATTTGAATAGTGTTAAATTAGCATTTGATAATTTGATGATAGTTTTAGATTAGCATTTGATAATTTGATGATAGTTTTAGATTAGCATTAGATAATTTGATAATAGTTTTAGATTAGCATTTGTTAATTATTGAAGATTATTTGATCTCTGATCAGTTATTTTTCTTAATTAACAAGTAATCATTGATTTGGCATTTATCACAAAGAATTGCATATTTAATAAATTTGAATACATTTTTTCCTCATATTTTATACGCCTAAATAATATTTTAACTCAAATATTATCATTCTAATAGACTTAACACTTTTTTTACCGGATTTCAAATCCGGTACACAATTCTCTTTTACTTACCATCCTGATATCTAAATCCTGTTTGCTTCATTTTTTGATATCATTCAGTCTATCTATAATCGATGACAATGCCTTTTTCCTGATTATTTCCAATATTGTTGAAAATTCCAATATTTTTTTTTAAACTAACAATTATGAAAGAATTTGATTTTTCTACTCTCAATAATTTGATCAGCCAATTCCGGTTTTATATTACGGATTTGAATCTATTGGTGCTTTTGTTTTCCTTAACATTCTCGTCCGGAAATATTTTCATCTGAAGAGTTCGAAAATAATGATATTCTGTTGTACATTAGCTGAAAATATTTTTAAGTCTTAAATTTCACATAGAAAGATTTGAAATTTTTGTCAACTTTAATTATATCATTAGAAGGAATGATTTCTCTAAATGCCTCCTTCAATATATACTTATTGACAGACATTAAATTTTCAAATGAATTAACAGTTCGTAAATTCTGCTTCAATTTACAACAAATACAGTCACCTCTTTATTGACATCATTTTTCTCTCTCAAATTTGAATGAATAATATGAATTAATTAAAATTTACAGGTTAAAATTAGGTATTGCATTATTATTATTCTGTATTTTCATGCATACATTTATGTTTAAATATTACTGTAGCATTGCTTATGCGAACGTCTTGTACTTTAAAATAGTACTGTAATATTTGGAAATTTGAAATTATTGAAATTTTACTTTTTGCTATTTCTTTTAGAAACAATTTTTTATTATAGGAAGTTTTTATTGCTAATATTATAATATTTATAATATAACTAATATTATGTGATAGTAATACTTATAAGTAATACTTATAGTAGCAGTAATACTTATAATATTTATAGTAATACTTATAAAAGTAATAGTAATACTTATAGCAATAAGTATTACTATAAGAGTAATACCTATACTCTCATTCTATTCTTATTCGTATTCTCATTATACATTCTCACTATCTAATATTTTATAAATGAATCATTAATTGTTTTATTATTACAAAAAGTAGAAAAAGAAGGTTTAAATTAAATTTGATTAAATTTTAACTTTTTTAAAATTTTATTACAACCAAAAATATCGTTTATTAGCAATATTAGCATTTTATTTATTAGCATATTAGCGTTTATATTAGCATTTTTGCAATAAATTTTTATTTATAAAATATATTCGATCGGTTGTAATTTTTTAGCATTTTTTTTTTGTTTTAAATTTAAATTTGATTAATTATCGTTAATTTCTTTGTTCCATTTATTGATGTTAAATTAGCTTTTAAAGCTGTTGAAATATATCATTCCTTTGGGTATTTTTTCATCAAACAAATTCCCATTTTTTATCTTTTCTTCCATCAAAGATCATTTTCTACTTTTTTTGCAACGAAAAATTTCGTTTTCTTTTCTTCGCTTTTTGTTGAAAACGAAATTTAAGTTTGTTAGAAATTATAAAAGTATTGTTTTTTTTTTTTTAATTACTAAAATTATATTTTAATTATTTTCAATTTATTCATTAATTTTTTCTTAAATTGAAATTTAAATTTCTAATTAGCTTATTTAATTTATAATTAAATTATTAATTTAAAAAATTTATAGGTTAAATTGAAATTTTAAAAAAGAGAAAAAGTAAGTTAAACTAATTTAGAATATCTTATCTTTATATTCTTTTGTTTTTTTTTTTCATTGCTAATTTATTTAGATTTTTTTATTTGGAATATTTTGTTTTAAATTTCTTTTTTAATTCATCCTATTTTGATATCTTAACTAAATTTTAAATTTACTTCAATGTATTATAAAATTTATTCAAATCCAATCATACAATAGCTATTTATTTTCATGCTTTTTATTTATATTTATTTTTATTATGATTTTTATATTTATTTTTATGAGATTAATAATTTTTTTGTGAAATTTATTACTTTCGAGAATTATTGGTAAAGTTTTATATAATATATCAATTAATAAATGATAGAATAATTAATGAAATTAAGTATTAAAATTTGTTTATTTGATCTTATCCTTATCAATAAAGTATCTCAAAGTTTAATTTGTTCATATTTCATTTGATCAAAATATTGTTTAAATTTCAGTTATATAATTTTTTTGATAAATTCCTCCTGATACTTATGCCCTTATTTAATTTATAATTAAATTATTAATTTACAGGTAACGGTAAAAAAAAAAACTCAAAATTGAACAATCGATCAACTTCCAAATATTTTCATTGCTAACCTATAATTCGAAATCTAATACTTCTACTTTATCTATTAACAGCTAATTAATCAAAAACAAAGTTTAATTAATCAATCATCAAATTTTGTTTTGCGATATTATCTAAATTATCTTCAGGAATGAAAATGCGGACGAATTAAATTATTTGAAAAATCAATGAAGACAAAAAGCATTGATAAATGAATTACTATTACATTGCACTTTTGCTAATTATTTCAACCGATGGAATGATCCATCCGGCAACAATAGAAGATTTCCTGGATGATCATCCGGATTCTTACTGGTTAGTTGCGGATGTACTAAATATTGAATGGCGAAAAGGATGTCTAACAACTGCTGGTTGTGCGGAACCACGATTTCAAGTAACCAAAATGAATACTGCTAACAATGAAGCTAATTTAATTAGCTGGCCTATTACGCTCAAATTAGTTGAGGTAAATAGTTAAATAAACAAATCTCATATATCAGCATTTTTTTTAAGATCATCTGAATAGTTCAATATATGATTATAAAGGTCATAAAACATCATAAAGTAACTTATCGCAAAAACAAAACAAATTGTGTGAAGGTGCTGTAAAATAATTAATTAATGATTAGTAAATAATTCTCTACCTTATCAGTAGTTATGAATTTTTCAAACTTGCAATTAATTAGTCCTAAAAGTCTCCTTCTTATAGCATGAACATAATCTTGATTGCTTGTTTATCCGGAAAACCTGTTCATGCTTAATTCCGATTCATTTAATTTCAGGAAAATATAAAATTGGTCATTTTTCATTTTCTCAAACGTTACCATAACATTATCGAATGAGTAACATTTTTAATGTATAATATCTAAAATTTTTCATCAAAATTATTTGGAATCATTTTTATGCAAATAAATAATTGCTGAGTTAAATGTGCGTGTATTTCAAAGGATGTTAAATTCCCGGATTACCTTTAGGTCAAGAATGGCTCCTAAATGAAATTCCACTGATAGCCATAATCATTTTCGATATGCTGAATTGACCTTATTTAATGGGCAAGTGATAACCGTAATCCATCTATTGCGCTCTAATACCACCATTGTTTCACTAAAGATAACCAGTTGAAAGATGAAAATATTGAACGAAAAAAAAGGACACTCTGCTATTATTAATAAACATATGACAAATGTATGACAGCGTGATAAATGATATGATAGCAATAATATGGCAAAGTTAAGCTCAACCTTTCTGATACCATCAAATATTACAATTCACGTAGTTTTTGAATTTCATGCAACAAATCCTTTTCTTGCTAATTAATAAAGTTACTTAATTTTCAACAATACTTCTTTAGTGCCACATAAATATCTCACCAAATTTCAAAGCATTTCAGATTTTTTACAAATGTCTTCGAAATATCGGTTATAATTGGTAAAGCTTTTTAAACTTTATTTATTAATTAAATCACATATAAATTACTCTGTTGCATTTTTACATATTTCACATACATTAATATATGCTTCAGAAAGTTTACATTTATTCCGGAAATTCTGATCCTTTTCTTTTTGCATCTGAAATGAATGCGACATAGTAAAAAAAATGGTGACTTTTAACATTTGTAGAAAAAGAGAAATTTGATACGGATTATTATATTCATTGCTAAACCATCATGATTTGCCGTAAAAACGGATCCGAATTTTCAGATAGTCATTTTAATTAATTTCAGTCGAGGAATTTCATCAAACAAGAAATAATCGTTATTTTCATCACAAAAATTTCTCTTCCATTTTCTTTCTCTATCTCTCTTTCTCTTTTCAAAAATTTTATAAAAAGAAAATTTTTTTGTTTTTTTGCAGGAAACATCACATTCATTCATATCACATTGGATATCACGAAGTGTTAGCGATATTGCGTTGAAATGTGAAGTGATCGGTTTAGATCCTACTTATGGTTTCCCGAGGATATGTGATACCACTCCTTTAAAACATATTTTTGATTTTGATTATGATGAGGTTCTTTGAAAATTACTTATTAAAATGATAAATATTATAAAATTTAAAATTAAAAATTTTATTTTTCAATATTTTTGTCATTGATGAAATTTTTATTAATCTTACATTTTAAATGATATTTAATTTATAGAATGATCATTTCAAACATTCAAAGAAAACGCAATATTCGAATAATGGAAATGGAAATGGAAAACTTGTTATAGAAGTGAAAGGAAAATGTTTCAATGCTTCACTTGCTCTAAAAAAATATGATCGTTGTCCAACTTGTATCGAACATCGTAGTATTGCTGTTGTTGAACAGGTAAGTTATTTCTAATAATTCGTAATTTAATAATTACTAAAATGATAACAATAAAATATTATTTTTCGAACATCGTAATATTGCTGTTGTTGAACAGGTAAGTTATTTCTAATAATTCATAATTTATTAATTACTAAAATGAGAACAATAAAATAATATGTATTTTTCTATTTAATAAAAATTAAATTTTTAATTATTTTGCTTTTTAAAATATTGCAGCTAAAAATATTGAAAATTGTTAAATTAATTAATTTTTTCTGTTAATTATTAATAATATACAATATTAATTTATATAAAATTTCAGTATACTGATCCGGAAACAAGTAATGATTTCTTTCATCGTCTTAATGGTAATAAACAATTTCTATATGCTGTGATAGTCTTATCAGCATTTACGGTTATTTTAACGACCGGATTTGCTTGTTTATTAATTGCTTTCCTACATCAAAAACATCAATTAAACGTATCTACCACATCAAAGCAGCAGTTCCTACATCCGGAACAATCAAACATCACATATCCGTTACATGCATATGAGGATGACGCAAGGTATTATTACTTTTTCAGACAATTTACTTATTTAACTCATTCATATTTTAAAATTATCAATTTTTTCTTCCTGATAATTTCAGATATGATATACCATGGGAGCAAATGCAAATGCCAACAATATATCGACGATCACCATATCGAAGCTTTAGCAGTAAAAATAGTTCCACACCAGTATCATCATCACTCATAGCTCCAATAACAGATGTCATGGCATTAGCTCAATCAGATTGTCGAAAAACTTCACCAAGTTCATCATTCGGTACTGAACTTCATGATAGTGGTTTAGAATCTGTCTAATACATCTTTAGCCATATGATTATTCATATGATTGATATAATTTAAGTGATAGTATCATACGATAAAATATTACTGTAAAATTTCATCCGAAATGAATTATTCCTATTATGATAATAAAATGGCAAAGAAAATTAAATTATAAATTTCAATCTAAAAATTTCATAGAAATAAAAAAAAAGATTTTATTTATTAATTTTTTAATTTAATTATTAATATATTATTTTTCAATGTTAAATTATTGTTTTGAAATATTTGACAATTATTTTGTTAAAATATATTTGTGAAATAATTATTTGCTTTCATATCAAACATTCAATATTAAATATTTGTATCCGTTATATATTATATCCGGTTCATGCAACTTATTTCATTCAGTATTTTGTTCATCTAATTAATTAATTTTAATTAATCACTAATCAACTTTCCAAAAGAAATTCTATTCACTTTTATGCAAATTTTTTTTGTAGTGAAAGTTAGAATATCACTTTATTCAATCATTCCTCTTTTGTTGTTGTTGTTGTTTATAAGTAATATTTACTTTTCATATTGCAATTTATGCAGTGTTTATGATAAGATAGTATAATATGATATGAGTATGATATGATAGTATGATATGATAGTAACAGTTAATCAAATTAAAAAACTTTGATGTGATTAATAATGCTAATTGAAATGATATAGCAAAATGGTATGATAATTGATATGATAATAATACATTATGAGAAATGATAAAGATTTTTTTGAACGAATTAAATTCACATTAAAATTTATAAGCAAATTAAAATTTCTCATTTAAAAAATTTCTTTTTTAAAATACAAAATTCCATTCCTCAAAATTCTTTTATTCAATCGATAGCATTAACAAATATATAAATGAAAATTAGTTAATATTTATTTTGTATTCAATTACAAAGTAATTTGACTATCATAGAAGATTGAGAGCAAAGAGGAAAGAATTGCAATTGTAAATTTGATTTGATAGTATTGATTTTCATTTAAATATAATTATCGATATTTGCTAAACTTTTTTTCATCACAGAAACTCATTAAATAAAATAGATAAACAAAATTATAGTAATAAATTACTATAATAATTATTTGAATCAATTAGATGCTATATCTGAATACAATATAACGAGATATCAAAAATCATTAATTCATTACTATAATTATTATTTGAAAAAATTTATCGAATCAATAATTCATTACTATAATAATTATTTGAATTAAACTAGGTGTTATATTTGAATACAATATAATGAGATATCAAAAATCATTAATTCATTACTATTATTTGAAAGATTTATTCAATCAATAATTCATTACTATAATAATTATTTGAATAACAATCAATTACATTTATTAATATCTTTCACTTTTAATTCAAATTTTAATTAATATCTACTATGTGTAAAATAATTGTGATATGAAAGAAATCATCAATTGAAATAAATAAACAAAAATATTTCATTCTTTTGAACAAATGAAATTTTCTACAATTTACGACGATAAACCATTTGATTAATGGAATCGCTTAAAAATACATTACATCAATCTTCCATTTTATTTTACAATAAGTTTTTTTTTTTTAGTGATAAGCGTAGTAAAGGAAGAGATAAGAATGTATTGATGTTTGATAGAATTTATAGTAAAATTAATTCCTTTCAAATGACCTCACAACGAATATCTAATTTATTTCATAAAATTCACCATCACTTTTTTTTTTTTCATTTTTAATTTTGAAACTTCACCTTTTTAAATTTTGAAACTTTACTTATAATTATATCTTATATACCTTCTCCTTTAATTATACATTTATAATCCAGTTTATTTTACATAACTTTATAAATATCTTCTTAGGCGGAATTAATTTTCATCAAACGGATAATTGTGTATGTATGTATATGTGTATGTGTATTGCAGTTAACTTTAATGTTAAAATTTAACGATTTACGACGATGAATAGATGTGGGAAAGTTTTTCCAATAAATTAAAATTTGATTGAAAATTTTAGTGAAGTGAATGAGTATGAGTGAGTATTAGTTAAAACTAAATGGAAGTGCATTTTCAAAGGAATCAGTTCGATGAGGGAATTTTATAAAAATAAAAGCATCCAACAAATATGATGGTTCCCTTTATCATTTAAATAGATCTGAGTGGGAGGCTAAACTGCTTTATTTGGCACAATTCTTTCTTACGTTTGGGAATTATTTCATTTTAAATCGAATCGTCAAAACATATCAAAATTCAATTATTCCTATATGGTAAATTTATTCTAACTGATAATTTTTATTCAACTGATAACTGATAATTCAATTGACAACTGATATTTTTACTTCAATTTTATTTATATTTATTACAAATTTTTTTCTTTCCAACTACACTTTCATTATTTTATCGATTAATTAATTTGTTTATTTCATTGTTTACTAATTTGTTTTATTTTTTAAAATTAAGCACTTTGATATTTTAATATTAATATTTCTTAATATTATTAATTAAAAAAAATCAAAAATTCCACTAATGTTATTTTAAATAATATTCGTAACAATTTTTGTATTAATTTATTCCTCAACGACAACAACATTTCATTAAGATATTTCTCCGATCTTTGTATTGATTTATTCAAATTTATCGAATAATGATTTATTAATTTTAAGGTACAATATTAATTAATTTATTCAAATTTACCGAATATTACTGATTTGAAATCAAATTACCAAATTATTATTGTACCTTAAAAAAATTGTTTAATCAAAAGTTATTTAAAAAAAGGTAGTTTTGCATTTAATTCAATCTTCTACGACAAATATGTCGTTTAGAGGAATTTATATTTTTGTGTATTCAATTATTCGAGGATTTGATTGTATAGAAAATTACACCTTCAAAATTAATGATCCGTATCATGAAGGTATGAATGATACTAGCAATGATTAAATATACATGTTGTATTATATTATCAGTATGTAAGAAATCAACTTCATTTTCAGATATTTAGAATTTCTCTTTTTTTTGGAGGGTAATTATACCTTTTTTTTTTTTTTGATATCATGGATTAGTTTAACTTTTTGTTAATTTTCATTCATAATAAGTAGAAATATAAAATTAGCATATTTTTATTTCCAAATATTATTCATGTAAATTATGTGCAACATTATGGAAACATACTACAAGTGGCAAATAGCACCAATTTTTCTTCCGCAATTAACAATCCATTCAAATATGTAATGTATCATTTTGCATTATTACAACGGTTTCATCGGTTAATTTTATTTGCTTTCTAAAAATTCAAATTTAAAATTGAATTGAAAATATTTTTGATACTATTTTGTTTGATATTAATTAGCTAATTTTCTATTTCCTACTTAACATATCGTGCTAAATTCATCGATTTAAAAAATCACGCTATCGTTGTAATAATTATAATATGAAATTTTATGTAAAATAAAATCAACTCGAATATTCAATTTTATGAAGCTATAAATTAGTTCAAATGAATAGTATCTAAAAAACATTGAACTCTTTGGTAGTAAAGGCGTATTTCCAACATATTTCAACTGATAATAAAATAATGAAAATGTTAGGCACAAATGATTCCAATTGAAATAAATGATGTTTTAATTGATAACAAAGAAACTAATATTCCATTTTGGTATTACAAATCGGAAATAAAATATTATGTTAAAATTTTGATATCATATGGTTGCACTCAATTGTTCCGTTTTTCATTTATGATGTTTAGATGTTTTCAAATGTAAAAAAAAATTTCAATCCGAAATATTTTAATAAGCTTTGAAATGTGGAAATTTTTCTCAGTGAAAAATTAAACACATTTGAAATTAAAAGTTTTAAATTTATCAAATATTTGAGAAGTCGAAATAATTTCACGTAAAATAATCCATTAAAAAGCTTTCGGTTCATTTCTAAGAAATTTCATATTATTTTAGGTTAGGAAGGAAAAAGAAAAGAATAATTACTGATAATAAGTTTGTTATGATATTGCAATGTTGTGATCGCGAATTATTAATAATAATTTCTTGATATAATTTAATGAAATGTGACCTTTTTCAATAATTTCATCATAAAAATATCGGTCATTTTCATTTAATGCAATTTCAAATTCATTAATTTACGATTATTAAATTGACAATTTTTATTGCATTTGTGAAATAAATGGTGTCAGTATAGCGTGACCATTTTGCATTCAACAAAATATTATTACTATTTTAACAATTATTAGAACTGATTACTTTTACAACAACAACAACAACAACAGCAGCAGCAACAACAACAACAACACAACAACAACAACAACAACAACAACAACAACAACAGCAACGACAACAGCAACAGCAACAACAACAGCAGCAACAACAACAACAGCAGCAACACAACAGCAACAACAACAACAGCAACAACAACGACAGCACAACAACAACACAACAGCAGCAACAACAACAACAAAATTTCTTCATACTGTTACCACCTGGACAAATTCTTCGTTTCGTATTTTCTTTTCACTTTTTATTAAAATAATATTATCGTTAGAGAAAGTATTGAAAAGAAAATTATTTACTGCCAAATAATATTTAAATGAATTCCATTTTATACAAACAGCCGTCGTCGTTTCTTTGTTTTTTTCACTAATTCTACACTTTTCATAAAATATTTTTTTTTCCCTAAACAAAACAATTGCTGGCAATAAAAAGAAATAATATTCAAAATTGATTTCAGCAAATTTCGTTTTTTGATTTCGTTTTTTTTTCAATGAAAAAAATTTCATTCATTGAGCGCAAAATATTTTTAAGCTATTCAAAACATTTTCAGGATTTAATTGATACAAATGGCAGCTTATGTGGTGAAATAAAAGAGGATGTTTATGTTTATCAGTGTATCAGATTGGTTGTTAACAGTGCTATATATTATATTGACCCTACTAGTATCTATTATTCATTCTGGTTGTTATCAGAAGCATTTATGCTGTTTGGGTCATAATTCTAGTTGTATCACAGCAGATGATACAATTGCTAAACTACCTATAAAATTTCATCATCATCATCATCATCAACGGTTAAAGAAGGAACAAAGGAATAAATGGCAAGATCCTATTTTCGATACTAGAAAAATGAAACGAAATGATAAATTGATGTTACGAAATTTGATTCAATTAGATGATCGTATGAAAGTTGAAGCGGTCAATAATCATGGTTAGTTTATTTGCATTTATGAAGCTGGTATTAATTAATTCATTTTTAGTGAAATAATAAAATTCACTTCTCTTATACTATTAAATTAAATTGAAATGAAAATTCCTCAGTGACACAAATTATCTTTACGATAGAATTTTATCACAAAAATGATATGATAAAATGTAAACGATCAAATAAAACGTATAATATAAGACTAAATGTTTTCGTCATACTAATTTCCCAGCCATTCTAACAGATTTTCATTTCTTTAAAACAATAATAAAATATTATTTGAACTAATTGAATTAATGAATTTTTATAATAAACTTATATTTCAGGTAATAATTTACCTCAGGATTATTTAAATAAACCTGAAAAACAATCTCAAACAATAAATCATCAGCCTATATTACCATTTCTTCGTTATGAACTCATTTTCGGTCAACCATTTTATTCAAAAGAACAGCAACCGGAGACAACACAATATCATCAACGTCACAAACTTATACGGTATTTAACCTCTATTGTAATCGTTTAACTGAATATTTCAGTTAACATAATTTCCGACAACCGGAAAAAATATCAGTTAGAAAAAGTGAAGGGAAAGAAAAGAAAGAAATAACTTTGTAGAAAATCAGAAAATCATTTTCCTTCTTTTTTTTTGAAACTTAAACCTTACCGATAATAAATTATAAATTAAACAAATTATGGGTAATTATGAAGGTGAAACAACTTTTTGCACACCTTTCTTTACCTGTCCACTATAACTATCAATGCAATTATCAGTTAGTTCATTTTTACAAATATTTTGTATTTGAAATATTTTAAGAAAGAAAACGAAAAGATAAATAAATGAATGAGAGAGTAAAATGGAAAAGGAAATGATAAAAGAAAACATTTTAGATATTCATTATTAAATCAACATATGCCATTAACAATAAAGAATTCGCGGGGTATCGAATGGTCAAATGATGCAACAAAATTAGCACTTCTGGAAAATACCGTTGTTTCCGATCATTTATGCTATTGTGATGAGAAATGTGTAATATTTCAGGATTGTTGCATCGATTATTCATTTACTTGTCCACGTATGCTTCTTTTTCATTCATTTAAATTAATTTAATTAAATTAATAATTTTTGCACTAAAAATGATATTAATAAATTAATTTAAATTAATTAATAATTTTTTACTATAAAATAATATTAATACAATGAGAAGATTAGAGATTGCAATGATTAATGATCGATTTAAAGTTTCTGCAGATATTATAATCGTTCTGTTTTGCAATTTTAATCATTCATTATAATTCATTTTTGATATGATCGAAATTAATGCTATTATAAAATATTAAAAATATTAGAATTGGATTAATTAGAGTTTTCTAAAATATCCGTAATTATAGCATCTGATTGTATTGTTAGCAAATGGTCAACTTGGTCAAATTGTATTCCGGATCAAGGTAATTGTAAAGCTGGTGTACAAACTCGAAGACGTATCATTGATAGAGAACCGAAGCATGGTGGAATGGAATGTCCATCATTGATCGAAAAAATGAGTTGCTACAAAGAATGTCCACAAAATAGTAAACGAAATTATCAACCAAGTAAGTTTTGATAGACAATATTTGGAAAGTAGGAAAAATACAATTATTAAAAAAATGGATTTTTTTTAAAAGTAATTTAAAATCCTTCTTTAAGCTGTCAAAAAGAAATTGTTATCAGATAGGTTAACTTTACTGATACATTTGATTAAAGTGATAACAGTGATATTCTAAAGACTCTTTTTGATATTAATAAAATAAGTTTTTGATTTTCAATTTTTTGACGGATAATTTTTTCATTTCAAAAATCATTTAACTAATTTAGGAATTACACCTGTAGCACTTATCCTGGATTATTCATACAACAAAACACGAGAGAAATTCAATGCTGACGATATTCAGAAGAATACAATTGATAAGAGAAACAAATTACTTTAGTTAGTTTTCCTTTTTCATTCTGATACAAATTATCATTGTGATAGAATTTTATCACAAAAATGATATGATAAAATGAAAACGATCATTCCTGAAATATTTAATAATAAGCGGTAAATGTTAGACATTGGCGTTTTTGTCTTTTTCATTTATTAAACCTCTGCTTCTATTTAATTTCAATATTTAAAAAAAAGCATTCTAAAATATTTAAATTAAATTATTAAAAAGTATTCAATTAATTCTAGGTTAGAATAGAAAAGGATTGTTGATAACAGTTGAAAAAGCAAAAAAAAAAAGAAGTGAAATATTAATCTTTTGTTTAAACTCATTGAACTTTAACCTATTTTTTTCAATCATTTAGCTATTGTGGAATTTATGAATTGGGTTGGGTAAATTCGAATTGCATTGATAAGAAAATTGCTATCAAACTTTATACGGGCAATAACATCTGTGTGGAATGTCAACCAGAAGCGCAATTGCATAGCAATAATAATACGTTAGTTATTTGTTCTGTTCTGGTAATTCTTGGCTTATTTTATATTTCGATAATATTGTTCGAAAATGGTTAGCTAAAAGGTCCAGGCCAAGATATGCTGAAAGGCTAGCCACTACAAGGTCCAGATCGAGATATGTTCAAAGGCTAGCCACTACAAGGTCCAGGCTGATTATGCTCAAAGATTAACCACTAAAAGGTCTAGGTTGAAATATGCTTAAAGACTAACCATCACAGTTGTGGTAAAAGTCATTGGTATTGAAATTTTGAAGTGAAAGAGACTAACATTGTAAATATTTCCTCAATTACAGATGCACATCTGATGTAAATGATGGAGAAGATGGATTCTGGAAATTAATCGGACCAAAATCATGCAATGGTATCTGGAAACGATTATTCAGAGTGGATAATTGCCGTTGTGAAATAGATTTTTCGAAGCATGATGCATTTTTATTTGTTTAAAATTATCATCATTAACAGTTATAGTTTTATAAAAATTAGTGTGAATGAAATTGAAATATCTGAAAGTTATAGGATTGAATTTATAAATTAAATCATAAAACAAAAATTAGACGCAATTTTTCATGGCTTTCAAGAGAATTTTAATTTGGAGAAAATTTAAATAAGATATCATTATAAGAAATTACTACCTTGAAAGTTTTAACTTCCAAAATTACTACTTTGAAAGTTTTAAGTTTCAAAATAGTAATTTTGCATTTACTACTTTCTGTTGCCTAACATTTTTGCTTTTCACCTCAATCATTACTGCCAGAATTTCAATTCCAATTAATATATAATTAGTTTTAATAAATATATCGCCATATATGCAATGATTCCTTGTATTTCTTCAATGAATATTAAATTTAAATTTTGTAGTAAAATTTAATAATAAAATTTCAACAATATTTTTTTTCAAAATTAATTGTTGTTGAATGATAAGAGAAAATGCAGAAATGAAATGTTTAGTGATATTTTTGTGATTATTTGCATGTCTTCTTGAAAAACATATTACATTTGATTTTTATTATTTTTTGTTAAATAACAGCCTAATATTCATTTTCCTGAAATACTCATAGCTAATGAATGAATGATCTATGGAAACTATGAAAATTGGTTTTTCCGGTTTGCACTATTCTAATAGCGTAGTGAAGAGCAGGTGTAGAAAAACTGAAAATATCAATCGGATAGCATTTGGATTGATTGTTTAACAGAATAAATGTATCAAATATAATGCAGAGATTTTGATTTAAATTGGAATAACTTTGATCTATCTTGTAGCAGGATGACCTTGATTGATTTGACCCCGATTAATACAAGATAATAGAATAAAATAAACAGAAAATGGATGGCTGCGCAAGAAATTCTAAAAGTTTCACCAAAAATAATAACTCTAATTAATGGAAACTTATCACTGCTTTCATTGATTGGAATAAATGATAATGACTTGTTGTCTGTTATAGGTAAATATTAAACTAATTACTATTTTGAATAATTCATTCACATACTAATACAATGTAATAGACACCTCATTAACATCTCTCCGACTCTCTTACTTACATTCATAACCTTTGAACTCAATCATTATTACATCAATATCTATTGTTTTTATAGACTGAATATTGATAGTGATCGTTTGGCGATAAATTTAATTTTCCGAATTAAAATTAAAAATTGCAAAATTCTTATCGATGTGAAACTTTTAATATATGATTGCTTCGTTGTGCATTGATATCCTAAATTGGTTAGTTTAAAATTCAATTATTGCAGTTATTTTTAGCTATTATCAATTTCTCGTTTGATTTATGTTATCGATAAATAGTTGGATGTATTGAAAAATTTTTAATCAATCAATGTTTTTTTTGGCTGTCATTAAATTCGTTTATTAAAATGATCAAATTTATTGATTTATTTTCACTTTATTAGTTTCTTCTTCTGATTATCGAAAAGCTAATCGGATTATTAATTCTAATTTCTTTCGATTATTAGCAATTATAGCATTGCAAAACATATATTCTTAAAAGTTAATAGAAACGCAATAATTGGCTGATGTAAAAATCGGAAGAAATGGAAATAATTGATTACATCCAATTAAATCAATCTTTGCATTCAAACTGATACAAACTACTGATATCTTATCTTTTCTCTAATATCATATCCATTCTTTCTCGTACAACAAAATGAAAAAAATCAGATGATACATGCGATCGGGAAGGTGAATACTTCACGGTGAAATCAACCTATTGCACATACAGGTAGTGATTGACGAATCTGACAGTCTCGAGTTGGAACTCATCAATTGCATGATTTCTGCGCTTAGATAATTAATTTTAGATCTGTTGCATTAACTTTTTATAGTATTGATTATTGAAAAGCATGATACAAACTGTTGATATCTTATCCATTCTCTGTTCTTCCAACAAGATGGAAAATCATCCATTCTTCCAACATGATGGAAAATCCGATGATACTTGCGATTTAATTTATACTTTTTCAACAAATTAATTTTAGATCTGTTGCATTAGCCTTCTATAGTTAGTTTATACATGCTATGACAAATCTTCAAGATATAATCGAGAAATAGCTATCGGGAAATAATGGGTAAAAAGTAAAACGACCCCAGTAATTACCAAGTAATTTAGTTTGACTAAAATCACCTTAAAAAAATTTTCCATCAAATATTTTTGATTGATTTAATAGAAATGAAGGAAGAAATTTTTGAAATAGTCTATATTAAGCGAATTTTGCTTCATTTCATTGAAAACTTCATATAATATCGCATTAAACTATTGCTGACCTTTTACATGACCTTTTACATATTTCAATCATTTACATTAATATTTGCAAAATTGATTTATTGCAATTATCCATAGTCTTTTCAACAATTGGTAATATTCACCCAACACTTTCTGGAATGAAAGGAGTTATTTTTGGGAACGAAAATGACCTTAAAAAAGTTCATTCTATTTCTATAATAAAAATATCTAATCAAATAATGGATAAAAGATAGGTCACTTCCCATATCTGTGAGAGAGAAAATTACTGGGTAAATAAGTAAAAACAAGTAAACAAGTAAATGAGTAAAGAATTAAGATAATCTGCAATAAAAAAACTAATCAAATATCAATTTCAAGTACTTAAGTAATTCGTTCTCGCATATTATCTTTCATATGCTATCAGTAAAATATAAACAATGGAATGTTTATAAGAACACATATCGATAACAATAACACATTTAATTTTCAACAAACAAAATCTCTTTGAAGTATAATTAACTGTTTGAATTAAATTTTGAAACAAAAAAAATCCAATTCAAATTCGAATATTATTTTTATTGTTTCAAATTAATTAAATTAAAATAGTAATTGATTAAAATATTATTTTTATTGTTTCAAATTAATTAAATCAAAATTATTGGTTAAAATATTATTTTTAATGTTTCAAATTAATTAAAGGATATCTTTGATTAGCAAAAAAATTCTCATAAATTTTGATAGATAATAGTATTTATCAAAATAAATAAAAAAGAAAACATTATTATATGATAATTATCAATTATTAATTAATGATATTCTTTTAGATTAATGAATGTTTATTATATGCAAAAATTAGGAAACATATCGCTAAGATAAACATTTCCATCATTAATTTAAAATTCAAATTAATAATAGAAATGTCTTCGTTACTGATAAGTGTTAATGATAGAGATATCTTCGTTACTGATAACTGTTAAAGTTAAAGTTACTGATAATTGTTAACTTAAATTTTTTATATTGTAAAATTAATTTGATAAATTTTTAAACAACGAAAAATGAGGAGGAGAAAGATTATCAATTCAAATAAATGTATACTTTCATTCATTAACAAATATTTTCATTACAATCAATAAAACTTTAAATTTTGCTAATGAATAATAATTATTTGATAAGGTGGTTTATTACTGTATTTGAACTATTACGGTATAACTTCTCTTCTGCTTGCATTTAACAATCGGTTGTAAAAGATTTATTTCTAAAGAAAACTGTAATATGCCAGAACAATTTTTCCCACTGAATATATATGTATACATATAGTTCTGGTGGATAAAATCATTTGACCTCAGTTATTTATATTCCATATACTTTCTCTCTAACATCTGAGAATAATTTTGATAAAAATTTCCTTCATTTCGGCATATCTCCTTTGAAGTTTAATTCTAATGAAAAATTTTTGTGATCGAGGTCGAGAATTAAGAGTTTCGTTTTTGCTCATTCTTGAATCCTCTCTCCTAACAATCTTTTCATTTCTCATTGTTAAGCTTTTGTTTACAATCATTGCCTTAGCATCTGTAAGCAATATGTGGCACAGTTTTGAGTAGTAAAAACTCGATGTCTTCTCTTTCTCTCCCTCTCTCTCTCTCTTCTTATCTCACTTTTTATCAGTAACTCTAACAAATATCATCATCTCAAATTACCCTTACATATCTTCTCCATCAGTTATAATTATTTATATTCGTATCACTACAACTACAGTATGATTTCAATCATCTTTCATTTCATTCTTTTAAATTAATTTTAATTAAGCCGAAATATATATTTCACAATCACTTTGTCTTCCTTTCTTGAACAATTTCATTTTGATTATTTGTTAAATAGATGAGATTGATATGATATGATAATAATATTTTCAACAGATTGTTATCAATAACCAAAATAATTGATACTTATTTATAGATTGAAGTAAATGATAAATTTTATCAAATTAATCGATCATAAATCGAATGATATCCAATTTTTCAATTTATTTCATTCATAACGATACCATATCAAAAAGAAACCCTACCCGTTCTTAGCGATCGCCGTTTCTCTTCTCTAATTTATCTTTACATCCTCAAAAAAATACTAGAAAGATAGATAATAAAGGTAGATCGATTACCTGTAAATTGATACCATTAAATAATTCACACCTTTCCCACTTAACAAAAAACCCATAAAATAGCACTTTTTGTAAGCTATGCATTATTCGGTGAAGTTTGTTTACAAAGAGAAAAAAAACAGCACAAAGAGGCAATTATCTTTGTTTTCTTTTTATGTACCGTTCTGATAGCAAATCTAAAATAAACAAAAGCCATACAATTTAGCAATCTATCGGAGTGATTTAAAAAGGGTAATAAGTCAATCAGATATCATTTCAATCTTATCACTCATTTTCATTCTAACTATTCCATCTCTTTTTTCCTCAAGATAGTTTATCTTTCATTGATTACATCAAATTTCTTTGTTCCACATTTGTTGTTACTGTTGTCATATTTACTGCTCCTGCTGTAGTTCCGGTTACTGGTGGAGTTGATTCAGTACTTTCATTAAACCAACCATTTTCCTCCTCTATAATTCAAACAATAAAATTCTCTCTCGAAATTAATTAAAGTAAAACTAAATGAAATTTTCTAAGATTATAAGTTGTATTTTTGAAAATAACAAAAATTATAACCTGTCTTGATAAAAGTTTGCATTGATGATGTATTATCGCATGAGTAGTAATGCGGTAAGGAAGCCATTCCACCTCTCCACATATTAAATGTTGTTTGCAAATTACCATCACAAAGTTGCATTTCACATCCAAATAATCGACAACCATCACCATTCATCTGATTTAATAAAAGTTTTCGAAATATTTGAAAATGTTTATGTAAATGAATATTTGTGAGAATTTCGAATTGCACAATAAATTTTGAATAAAAAATTTTTTGATATTAATCGAAATAAAAAATGAAGAAATATTGAAAACCTGATCGAGAAAGCGAATATAATCTGTAGCAATACGTAGTGTATGAATTTTACTCATTTTATCAGATGGTAACGATGGAACAATTCGTCGTAAAATAGCAAATGCATCATTTAATTCTTTAGTTCGTTGTCGCTCACGACGATTTGCTGCGACACGTTGTTGTAATGCTTCTTCTGGATTATCACCCTATACATATCAGTTGCATTTCACATCCAAATAATCGACAAATATAAATAAATTAAAAATAAATTTTAATAAATTAAAGTGATCAGATATATACACATTATGTATGTATACATGATAAATGATAATGATAATGATGATAGTGATGATGTTGATAGTGAATAATAATAGTGATAATGATAATGATGGTAGTGATCAGATATCAGTAATAAAACATTTGAGAAGAAAACAAACTGTTAGTAGAATTTTAAAAAATTGCAAAGTAATCTAAAATTAGCATAAAATAAGATATATATAAATATTATATTGCAAAATAAAATTAGCAAAGAATTTAAAAGTAATTAATCCTTCAAAAAATAATTTTACTCAAATCAGAAAATCTTAAAATTTCTTAATTAAATCAATACTTAAATACTTAAAATTTATTTGAATACTTAATTTCTGGAATTTTGAAATTTTCTTCAAAAAATTCCAGAAATTAAGTATTCAAATAAATTTTAAGTATTTAAGTATTGATTTAATTCAAGAAATTTGATTAAAAATATCCATCAAAATTATTAAAAATTCTGTTAGTTTAACTTATCAAACGTAGAAAGTATGATAATTTCTGAAATCAACGTTGAAAGATCCCGTGGTAACTGTTGAAATTACAACACTAATGAATTATTATTACTTTTGCAATTCAGATAATTATCATTAAGAAATTAAGTGTAAATAAATTAATTATATAGAATATAAAAAAGAATAAAAAGTGTAAAAACAATCAACCGTAATCATTCCATCAAAATAACATTGTACTGAATGTTAGAAAAGTATGATATGGAATGATTTTGAAAAGTTTAGCAAATTGCGGAGCGGCATTCTGTGGCGTCTTATCAAAGGAACAATTTATATTATTAGTGAATGGTAGTAATGATAATAATGATTAGTAATAATAATTCTGAATGATAATAATGATTAGTAATGATAATTCGAATGATAGCAATGATTAGTAATGGTAATTTCGAATAATAATAATGATTGGCAATGATAATTTCGAATGATAATAATAATGATTAGTAATGATAATTTCGAATGATAATAATGATTAGTAATGATAATTCTAATGATAATAATGGTCGGTAATGATAATTCGAATGATAATAATGAATAATAATGATAATTTCGAATGATAATAATAATTAGCAATGATAATTTTATTATAAAGATAAAAAGATAAAACAAATTAGTATAAAACTGATAAAAAAATAAAACTGATATGTAGAAAATATTTCTTTTCGACTATTTCAAAAAATCGTTGAATATAAATTGAATTACTCATCTGTAACATAACATTTAATGAGAAAAATTTTCAATGTTAATTTTAAAATATGTTAAAAAAAAAAAAGATGAAAAGAAATACCTTACGCCTATTAGACCGTCTTCTGGTAACCATCTGGAGGGATAAGCGAACGATACCGAGTTGCCCGAAGGATTTATCAAAACTCTCCTACACCCGCCTCCATTATCTTCTCTTTCTTCTTCCATTCTCATTTAGCCAATATTTTCCACATACTTTAAACATTACTATCTTCCATCGAACTTACCATCATTGCAATTCATTTGCTCAATCATTTGTTACAATGATATATGCGCCGATACAGCGGCTAACATATTAATGTTTATTTCGATGTTATTGTTTGTTATCTTCTTAACTCTAACTAATTCACTCATTCTCTCATAGAGTTTTAATTTTTGATTAACATTTTTTTTTTAATTATTATCTAAATGTAATTTTTTCCTATTGTAAGAAAAAGATATTTCAATTTGTATAAGTAAAATGATAAGATAAAAATATAAATAAATATAAAATATATATAAAATATAACTATAAAATATATAAAATACAACTATAAAATATATAAAAATTACTATAAAATATATAAAATATAACTA